TGGCATTACAATCTCCACCTTCATTCCAGTACAACGGTCTGAAACGATTCTGAATTTGTGGAAAATCTTTAATGTGTTCAGTCTTTAAGTATGCTGGACTGGAGAGGATATTTCACCAACTTGTTTGTGTAACTACAATAAAAAGAGGGTTTAGAAATAGATACAGATGTTTGTGGTGCTGTTTGCAGAGTTACACAGTCTGTCATAGCAAGAAATGTGACTTTTCTCAAAGTCACATGTTCACCATGTTATTCATACATTTATAAACATCAGAGTTCCAAACTACACATTTAACTTGAAACTAAATATTTAGCTTAAAAATTAAAAATGTAATTTTCAAACTAAATATTTAGTTTGCAGACTAAGTATTTAGTTCCAAACCAGATGTTTAAGTCTGAGCTAAATATTTAAAGTTCAAACTAAATAGTTAGTTCACAAACTAAATATCTAGACCCAAATTAAATATTTATGTTTGCTGACGTTATATTAACAGTAACATAAGCAGTAATGCAGTTTTTCAGACTGATTTTGTCTTCAGTCTCTCTCCAGCCAGCTTTACATTCAAAATGATTTTAACTGGAGCCAACACTAAATGCTGTGTCATTTTATATCCTCGTAACCGAGACGATGGAAAAAGCCTACAGAGGACTGCTCTGCCCCGTCCAGACTGCAGATTCATAAATAACTGTAATAAAATCATAATATACATGCTTGCCACTGGCAAAAAGAAAAAAAACACCAAACAAACAAAAAAAATGGACAGCTGAGTCAGAAATGATCAAATTAGCTGAGCGGATCAGTGGCTGAAAGGATAATGGACATGTACTTTTCTCCTAATCAAGTTGAATGGTGGTTAACTTGATAATAATTTCCATTGGGGAAAGCTTGATACTGCACCTAAAAATACACCAGTACACACCAGTAGATTTGCATGGCTGCATTTGAAATGCTGTCAGATGAATGGGAAACGTGGAAGCAGTCACGTTTCTCTCACTTCTGGAAGGTTAGACCCACAGACACGCAGCTTCATCTGCTTGTCCCATAATAATGCTGCCTTGCATTTCTCCTGTATTGATCTGAGTGCCGGTTCCTCCAGTGCTAACACACCGCCGGTGCAGCCTCAGCCACTGATCAAAGCATTAGAGCGCCCAGACAAGAAGCTGATGTCATCAGTTCTAGTGAAGTGTCAGTCTGACTGCAGCCATTATTTTTCTCTGTTTTGTGAGGTAATCTGTAGCAAGCAGACGAATGACCCCGATAGCTTTGGAAAAGGAGCTGATAGCAGACATCAGCCTGTGAGCCACCATATGAGGGAAAATATGGGCAGAAAGTTATCTCTCCCTCCTAAAGACAGAGCAGTGGTCAGTGGCCACGCCCTCGTCCTGAATACAGTTATTATTTGTTTCTTTAGTTGAATCAGGAGAAAGCACATCCCTGTTTTCTCCTGGATTCAAATGTTTGAGCAGTTCTGGCTTTTTAATCAGAGTTTAGTTTTGTTTTGTTGTTACTTTTTGTTAGTGTTTCTGCTAGTTTGTAATAGTTATTGTTAGTCAGATGCTGTACAGTCTTGGTTTAGCTTTTATTAGTTAGTAGCAGTTTTAGTATTTTTATAGTTTGGTCAAATTTTAGGTGAAGAATTCAAAAAGGTCAAATTATTGTATTCTGATTATGTATTCATTGATAATGAATACTCAACAGAAGATACTATAGTAAAAACAATGATATCAATCATTGTTGAACAATGACTGGTGTTTTCTCCCAACTTTTGTAGTCTCCATTTTGTGGACCAGCATCAGCACCATTGGAGCTGATGCAAGCAAAATATATTTCACATCAGTTTGAAAGGCTGAAAAATAGATTCATAAATACAAAAATGAAGGATATTAGATTGATCATTTTTGTATGTTTTTGTTAGTTTTATAAATGCATGATACAGTTGCAGTTTGTTATAATTACATTTTCTCCATTAATTGCAGTTTTTATTTTTTCATTTTTTTTCTCAATTTCAATTTTCTTTATTTCGTTACTTTCAGTTAACAATAACAACCTTGGTTCTGACCATCTAGAATTTATTGATTTGGTTGAGTTAGCAAATACTTTTGGCAATACAGAACTTGTTGTGAATGCTAAGGCTAGTTAGCATGGATAAACAGTTTTCTAGTAAACGTAATTAGTTTCGGTGCCATTAAAACATTTGGCAGGTACATGAGGATGATTGACAGCGCTAAGATCCACCTCCTGGCTCTGACTGCTTGTTTCTGACTGGGAGCAGTGCGTTTCTTCAGACGGTAGTAGCAGGTCTGGATGGAGAAGTTTCATCTTTCCACAGAATATCTGTGTCATAACACACTGCCACGACATGGTGACAGGACAATTTTAATAAATATGTAAAAAAAAGAAAAAACAACATATACTTAAAAAAAAATCCATACTGCAGCTTTAAGAAAAAAGTAGAGCAAACAATGTGAGAAAAGGATGAGCTCATCTAGACGGCTACGTCAGGTTTGTGCTGATAAAAATCGGGCAAAAACTCCTGAACTATGAGGCTGACATTTTTTTATCTGGGTTTCAGCCTCATTTTTTAAAGGTAAATAATGACACAAGGTCAAATGTGTCACCTGCTGTTGATCCTGACCAGAAACAAATCTAATAATTCTTATGCTATCGTCATTTAAAAAATTAAAAGTAAAACGAAAACATTTTTAAAATGAGGAATGCATCAAATGCAACAAATTCAAATCAGAACTTTCAGCCCATCAAAACCAACAATTATTGACCCCTTTTTTCTCTGCATATTTACCTCATTTTCCACTTTTCAACATTTATTAGCTTTCCCATCAGCCATAAATTATTTCTAAGAGCCCAAATTAAACCTGTGTTCTCCATACCTTTGTGCGGGACTTTCTGTCAGACTCATTGTGGGTAAATAAAACCTTCCTGCCCTGAACTCCGAATGATCTGTCATATAAATAAATCTCCTGATTGCTTAAGACAGCTTATAAACAGACGTTCATTTCCACAGCTTCCAGTCCACAATGAGGGGCTTCAGACCAAGTGTACACAGCAGCAGATTGAGTTAAAGTCTCCACGTGAGAGACGTGGATCGTCCCCAGACTCTGACATCGTGATCGTCCTTGTCGGATTAAGCGAATCAATCGGACTGAGTGGGAAAGAGGGAGACCAAGAGGACGAGAAGAAAGAGAACTCTGTTGGGGGGAGAGGGGGTGGGGGTTGTGATGGGAGGCAGCTCCACCCATAATTAAGTTACCCCGGCTGCGCTGAGGGTCCGTGTTTATGGCACAGAGGAGGGAGTTTCCTTCACTCTGTGGACAATCAGAGCAGAGGAGCGAGTTCTGGAACTCTCCTCCGGCTCTGACTCTTCCTGCGGCTCATCGCCCCTCACTCCGCCGCGACTGACTGACCCGCAGGACACCAACAGCCTGACGGAGAGGTGGAGGGGAGAAGAAGAAGCAGTTTGTAGTGGCACCTGCCCAAGCCTCCATCCCCGGTTTCTCTGCTGCATCGGCTGACACCATGTGCGACTGTTTCCACCTGGCGTTCCCCAACTGGCACGCTGCCCCCTCTGGGACGGGTAGGCTCTTTACCCTTCCTGTTTCTTTACTTTATTTTACCCCATATGACATTGTCTTTCCTCTGAGGAGCGAAGTGGCTGAGCAGGGCAGTAGGGAAAGGGAATGTTTGCAATGGCGGCGGATGAGTCGGAGGCAGCTGGTGCTGATGCTGTGTGTTGCTGATGGGTGTGTCTGCAGAGTGCAGCGGACTGTTTGGAGATGCCATCATCAGAGAGAGAGAGTGTGTGTGTGTGTGTGTGTGAGTGTGTGTCTGTGTTTCTCCTCTCTGCCTTCCAGCAGAGCGTCTGGAGCTCAGACTCAAACACTCCGAGGCGCCGTTACTGTCGATTAGATCAGAAACCCGGAGGACGGCAACAGATCCCTCCTGGGGTTAGAGAGAAAAACGACAGCTGGAGACAGGAAATATAAAATTGATGCCAAAAATGGAAAACGGCAGTGCAGGTATCAAATGAAATATTAAAATCATCATCATCATCATCATCTGGTTTTATGGAGGAAGAAGTACTCAACGTCAGCTTCCTAAAATAATGGCCCAAAAAATACTTCACCTTTTATTAGATGATTTAGGTAAAAAAAAAAAAAAAAAAAAAAAAAAAAACTTTTTAAAAAAAAAAAATCCCGGTGGCCCCCAAACAAGGGGGGGGAAAAAAAAATTTCCAATATATTAAAATATTTTAGTAAAAAAAAAAAAAAAAAAAAAAAAAAAAACTTTTTAAAAAAAAAAAATCCCG